CAGTATCAATTATTAAGGATGAAAAAAGACAATTGAATAGTTCTCGAGATCAAACGCAGTTGAGAGTGTGCATGTATCACGCTCAGTAATTCGGTTAATTCTGATGACTGAAGTGCAAACATCTGGAACGCCTGGTTGATTCAATGCCCTTTAACAAAATAAAAGGAAGGGTTAATGTTAAAGAATCTGAAAAACATGAAATTAGTCTTCACCCATACCACGGTATATTTACGCGTATCTGATCAGTCCATGCTCCAATGGCATTACCATTTGGAAAGGTAAATACGACATCATTATAGTTTGTTGCTCCATTTGTCGTAAGATTTGAGATAATCGCAGCCTTATTTTGGCCGGCAATGCCATTTCGAAAACCTGGAGCAGTGAGAACATCATTGAAACCTGCTTCATTCCATCAAATACAAGAGCGGGCATATATTGATCTTTCTTTAGAGCTTTGAGAACCAAAGTAGCTGTTTCACGATTTTGAAGCATGGGAGGGAGTTTATCAACCGCTAAACATAAGAAAATTAATCAATATATATGGGCATGGAAATAATATAACTGATAATTTTTTGCAGACCTGTTTCGCTTTTTTTTGCAAGTTTTCTAACGTTTTTTTCTCGAATATGTTTAAGTAGGCTTGACATATCTACGGACCAGATTATTATAAGTTTATTTGTGATTTCGTGATTTAAAGTGTCCACTAAGCATAGGTCAAGTTTGATTTGATTGGTCAAAAAAGAGATCGTCATCAATATAGATTAACTACCCAACAAAATTTTTACTATCACGTGATCATTGTTTAAGTATCCAATCATATCACTCACGTGTAAAGTTAACAAAATATTAATTATCATTAGTATTTGGTTGGTGGGCTTAACATCATTGGTCGGAACACTTCTGGCTACGATTGATATTTAAAGAATTGCAATTTTGAAAAAAAACGCATAGACCATCGCTTTAAGATCAAAATATTGCACTTAGTAGATTTTTTTTGTTTTTAATGACAAATTATTATCGTTATTATAATGATAACTCTAATTTATTAATCGATTATAAATTTAACATTAATGCCTTAATTTGATAAAACCATTTCTGCTAATGTAGCTTAAAATATATGTACCTGGAACGGAGTATGAAATACGAAGTGTTGGTCATGTAGCGAGTTAAGTGGAGTCGCGGAATCTGAGCATCTGATCGGATGGTGCTTCCTTGTGACTTTGTGTGTTAACGTGTGCATGCGTTTGTTATGATGAACATTGTCTAAATTTACCATACTATAATAATACTAGGACGTAGCAGGCTATATCTTGATTTTTTCGAATTTGTACAAGCAATTTATTTATAAGTATGCAACACTAATATAATTCTCACACATTCAAAGGATTCTAAGTGTTTATTTCAAACTATAATCATAATTTAGGGAATTGCAATCTGAGTTTTTGAAAGTCATGATCAGAATTTAAATAAAGTTAGCAATATCAATATTATTAATAAAATATTACATACAGTTGTAAGTATACTTGGATTTGCATTGATCAGTTATATTTTATAAAAAGGTACATTTGTTTTTTTTTGGTATTAAGGTGAAGCCTTGTTCCTATCTTTATTCATAGTCATTAAGTAGTAATCACATGGAGTTACTGAATACAAAAAGAAATTCTATATATGTTATAGTTAAGATCAACACTTGTGGTCAGGACTGACTATTAAACTGTTAACTATAAAACTATAACTCTAAGTAATATAAATGTTACATGCAAGAGTAAGAGCTCAGACATATTTATCTGCAACTTAAA